ATCTCCCCTAGATCACCCACATACTTTGGCCAGTCACAGCTTCAGTATGGACAAGTTTACATGACTTTGGTCACTGTGGACAGAAGCAGTTAAAATAATCAGTCTTTGGTTCTTGTCTCCGCCTATACTTGGAATCTGCATCTACTGGAGTCACTCTGTGAGAATGAGGCACAAGGGAAAAGACTCTTCCTATCCTGTTCCCCTGCAGGAGTTTTTAGAGCAGCAAGAGAGAAACAGCCATGGCTGTGATCAGTTTCACAGAGCGTGACCAGAATCTTGTTGTTTTCATGGTACTGGTTTTATATTCTCTCTAGAGGAAGTTCTCTACACCCCAGTAGGGTCTGGATTTTTTAAGCCCCGCTTATATCTCCTACTGCACTTTGTGGAGAGCACACACAAGTACATTTGAGGGTACTGCCAGAGAAGCAGAACCAGAGGAAGAGTTTAGCAGAATAGGGACCAATTCAGGCAAATCATGCATTCTTCTACTGTTCAATGGGGTTTAGAAGGAAACCCATACAGGAAGAAGGTTATCGTATTCAACCCCTGATCAGATGTGCTGATGGTCTGTTTGCCGAATGAAATAATGTTCTATTCTCTGCTGCTATTGAGATGCCAAGCAGAAGGTTTAGAGCAGTGTCTACATAACAGAAGAAGAGATGTAATCAAAGTGGCAGAAAGTTCTGGGAAATTCTGTTGCAGTTAGAGCAGGGGCGGGCAAGCTTTTTGGCCTGAGGGCCACATCGGGTTTCTGAAATTGTATGGAGGGCCAGTTAGGGGAGGCTGTGCCTCCCCAAACAGCCAAGCATGGTCCGGCTCCTATCCGACCCCCCCTGCTTCTCATCCCCTGCTGCCCCATCCAACCCACCCTTCCCTGTCCCCTGCCGGCGGCCCATGCACCCCTCCCTGTCCCCTGACTGCCCCCCACCGCCCCACCAAACCCCCTCTCCTTCCTGATGCCCCCCCAGGACCCCTGCCCTCATTCAATGCCCCTGTTCCCTGCCCTCTGACCACCCTGACCCCTATCCACATCCCCGCCCCCTGACCACCACCCCAAACTCCCCTGCCCTCTATCCAACCAAGATGTAGGAGTATGTAAGATCAACGCTCAAATTTGGACAGTTTGATATTATATATATATATATATATATATGGTTGCCATTTTTGTTCTTGATGTGCTCATACCTATCAATAAAAGACTCCAGCCAGGCCTGCTAATTGCAAAGAAAGCATTGAAGATGGGAAGGTAGCATGTAACTGCTAGGCATTTGTAAAGAAAGTAGATATCGCTTAAGTAGGGCCTTACCTACATTAACAAAATTTGCAGCTACATAGCGATGTAGAGCTCTGCGCTAGTGCAAAATAGGGCTTGTACTGATACTTTTTATGCCAGCAGAACAAGTGATTTACTGCAGTAATTTGTGTCAGTGTGGCACATGTACAGTTGATGACTGTAGCAGCATAACACCACCACTGCAAGTTTTGTTTTGCAGATGGACCCTAGGATAATCTTAATGTCAATATTGTTAGTTATGTCACTGATGATTAAAGCAAGTAAGGAATAATCAGGTTCTGAAGATCTACCCCCTCATGTTAAGGCTATCAGTACTTGGGAGATACCATTACCCCCTGTCCCACTCCCACTCTGACCTATGAAGGCAAAGGGGAGCCTAAGGTGGCACATAAGCCTCTCCACAGCGGAGCCAGAGTCCAGCTGGGCAGCCAACACCCAATGGGCTGGCCTTTCCCCTCTGCTAGAAGTTCAGTCTCCTCCCTTCCCAGGACAAGATTCCCATGCAATCTAAAGAGGGCATTCAGTTTATTGACAAAAATATAGACACCTTCACTGCAAACTAATTTAAGCTTTAATATTTTGATGAGGGGAGTAATAAAGTTCTTAAACAGGTATTTTGCAGGTTTGAAAGCAGTGATTGTGATCTTACTTCCTACCCTCAAATAGAATAGGTTTGGGAGGGATGAGAGGTAAGTCTCACAGATGTAAAATAATAAGATGCAAGTATTTACTGTCACTTTACTTACGCTTTTGTGTGTGTGTACAAAACACCCAAAATCCACTTCACTATGAATTACACAAAACAAAAGCATGTTATATTTAATTACTGAATCACCAGCCCCCTGGCACCCTCAAGATCAGGTCATTGCTCACTGAAATCAACGGAAATGGTGCTGTATCATCCCTTCAGTTTCCTAAGATTTTCAAGCACTCCTCTATTGTCAAGTTTATACTACTCAATGCAGGAATCAGGAATAGTATGTGGCTTCCACTGCAAAGAGGCAAGACACTAGTAGTTAAGAGAGAATTCACATACACAAGAAATAGTTTACCTGCTCACTTAGAGCCTAACATTTTTGTGAATGATAAACTGTCTTAAAAAAATTAATTCTGGGACATCCCACGATTACAGTTTCTGTAATTTAAACACCCCAATCTTGCATTCTGATTGGTACAAATAGACCCGATTACAGGACTGAGGCCTAAAGTGTCTCCAAAAAACAAAAACAAGCTAAACAGAAGGGGAATGAAGAGAGACTCTCACCAGAGTATTTCAGAACATTTTTTTAACCACAATAATCCATCAACACATGGTACTCTGACCCTTTACATTCATCTCTTTGCAGGAGTGGAAGGAAACACTCAATATTCCTACATAATTTCCAGCTTTATATACACAAGAACCTCTGGAAAAAACTTAAAAACTGATTTTTCCCCCTAACTGAAGAGTTTTATTTCTTTCACAGGGTTGATGGCTAGAGTCCTTCCAGAAACACTGGGTTGCCAGTGTGAGTTTATATATTAAAAAAGGAAAAAATTGTTTTGCAGGGAAAAGACAAGTCACACGTACTTTAGAAAAATGAATAAAAAAAAACGTTTTAAACCTACTGTAGGAATCACAAGGGCGCCAGAACTTTTGCAAAAGTGGGGGGGAACAGGCCCCCCCCCACACACACACAAATTGCACTCTTTGGGCAGGCATGAAGCAGCACCAGGAGGGGCTGCACTTCATGAGGGGGAGCTGATAAAGTGGGAGAGCCAGGCCCCACATCTCCCCCAGGTTCCAGAACCCTTGTATCACAATAGTGCTTAAAAAAAAAAAAGTTGATAACATTGTGCCCTTAAATTAGCTGCACAGTATTTTAAAAGAAGATGCAGAATCCTAAGGCTGAAGCAGGTGTACAACAGCAAGTGAAAAAAATCACAGATTAAGAATTTCTAGTATAGACATTGAAGAGAGAAGAATAAAAACTGCAGTCACAATTATCAGAAAGTATAAAATACCTAAAGATTTTTCAGAATTATGGGTAACGTGGCAGAGATAGCAAATATTAACAGAAATTTTGAGGAATAGTACAGGTCTAATCCAGCTATCATTCTGTCTGCAGAATTCTCACTGAAGAAACTTGCAGATTAGTGGCAAGAGCGAGTGCTGAACCAAAGCTAACTACAGTTATGCTTATGGTGAAATTCATTTTTTAATATTTTAAAGTATTAGCAAGATTGTGTATCTTTCTACTGCTATATACCAGAAGTATGCTACAAACAGAGATCTGTATCTTTATTATTTGCTCTGTGATATAAGCCTCTGCAGTATTTCGACTGAACTTTCATTAAAAACAAGGTGGTGGTAGACTTTGGGAAAGTTTCTTCTTCAGGCCTTTCAGAACTGAATATTTGCATACCCCCACTTTGAAAGAGGATCCCATCAAATCAAGTCTGGGCCAAAACATAAACTCTTTAAAAGTTTTTATTGGAGAAAAACTACTTCTGTAACAAGCTAAAAGCATTACACGTGTTTTTATATAGTTTAATTACAGTTTCTTTAAGCAGATATTCCAGGACAGCACAGTGGAGTATACCAGTCAGAAAGTGAAATTGTCTATAAACGAGTGAAACTAACTAGACTGTTCAGTATCGAAACTGAATGGAATAAGCATGAAGAGAAAAAGCTTTTAAAATTCAGTTTTAATCTAAGAGATAGTTGTGCCATACATGATGGGGTGTGTTAACAGTAACTGACCCTGAAAACTGAACTGTCTGCCCGCAGCCCTTGCAGGCTTCAAAAATACACCTTTCAAGAGGTCTATTTCTCAGAAGAGTAAAATATCGCCCTATTCTCACATCTCGCGTCTTGACGGGGGGAAAAGGGGAAGAGACTAGCTTCGGGGCCGAGCCGGGCCTGGAGGGGCAGGAGAGATGGGGACGATCCGCTAAGGGGCTGGCCCGAGCTTGAGGGGGCCGGTACAACCAGCCGGACTCTGAGGGGCGGAGGGGACCGGGCAGCTCAGTGGGGGGCGCGGGGGAGCCCGTCCGGGCTTTGGGAGGCGGGGGATGCAGTGCGGAGCCGGGCTGGGCTTTGGGGGGCAGCTGGAGGGCTGATCCGCGGCAAGGGGGTGGGGAGGGACGGGCTTTGGGCGGTTGTTGAGGGAGGACGATCCGTGGGGGCGGGCTGAGGGGACCAGCCCGGGCTCGGGGGGGACGATCCGCGGCGGGGCCAGCGCGGGCTGTGGGAGGCACTAGCGAGGCGCCACTTTCCTGACAGCGGCTCCTCGGACCTGCGGCGCCCTGGTCCCGGCCGGCGCTCCCGCAGCAGGGCTCTCCGGAGGCGGGAAAGGAGCGGTCCCTACGGGGCCAGCCCTTCTCCCCCCGCGGCCAGGCGAAGGCACCGCGGCAGCCGCGGCTCCCCCTTCCCCCGCCGCGGCCGGGCTGCCCCAGGCTGGGCCGGGCGCGCTGCCCCCGCCGCGCTGAGCGCTGGCTGCAGCCAGAGCGGCTGCGGGCCGGCTCCAGCCGCCATTACTCTTTGTTCGCCGCGCTCGGAGCGGCGGCGGCGGCGGCGGGGATGTTGCAGGGCTCGGCTCGGCTCCATCTTTAAAGCGGGCGCCCCTCCCGCTGGCGGTGCAGGCCGGGCCGCGTCCTGCGCCTGTTGCTCCCTGCGCCCCGCCGGCTCCATCCCCCCCTCGGCTGGGCGCCTTCCTCCTCTTACCGGTTACGGGCTGCTCCGTCACTGCTTTCGTTCGCGCCTAGGCTCTCGCCGCAGTTTTATTCTCTCCCCCACGTAACACACCGCGTCAAACTACACCTCCGCCGCGTCACTCACACACAAGGCTCTCCCAGCCCGGCGACAGGCAGGCAGCGGCCGACTGAGGAGAGCCAGCCAGGGAGCAAGCGCCGAGAGCGCCGCGGCCCCGCGCGGAAAACGCCGAGCTCTCACGGAGAAGGCCGAAGCCACACAACGCGCGGCGGCGCCCGAACGCAGCCGACCGGAGATCACGGAAACAGCCGGAAAAGACCGAAGCGCCGACCTGGGCTCACGGCAACTCCCGAATGAATACGGAAAAGGCCGAACCGCCGACCGGGTTTACGGCAATGCCCGAACGGGTACGGAAAAAACCGAAGCGCAGGACAACTAGCACGAAAACTCCTGGCAGCGCCCGAATATGTACGGACCCTGCCGAAGCGCGGGGCAGCGATCGGAAACTAACAGCAACCCCCGAAAGTTCACGGAAATGACCGAAGTTCCTTAGGAGCGAGTCGCTGGGAGTGGCCACGAACGGAGAGCTCAAATCTCCGGAAATGGCCGAAGTTCGTGGGAGAAGCACGGAAATTCCCGATTGGGGTTGGCCTGCAGGGTGGTGGATGCTCGTGGCAGGGAGCCTAGCGCCCAAATAAAGAACATAAGAATGGCCGTATTGGGTCAAACCAAGCATCCACCCCGCCCAGTATCCTGTCTGCCAAAAGCAGCCAATGCCAGGTGCCCCAGAGGGAGTGAACCTAACAGGCAATGATTAAGTGCTCTCTCTCCTGCCATCCATCTCCACCCTCTGACTGACAAACAGAGGCTAGGGACACCATTCCTTACCCATCCTGGCTATTAGCCATTCATGGACTTAATCTCCATGAATTTATCTAGCTCTCTGTTAAACCCGGTTATAGTCCTCGCCTTCACAAGCTCCTCAGGCAAGGAGTTCCAGAGGTTGACTGTGTGCTGTGTGAAGAAGAACTTCCTTTATTTGTTTTAAACCTGCTGCCCATTAATTTCATTTGGTGGCCCCTAGTTCTTATGTTATGGGAATAAGTAAATAACTTTTCCGTATTCACTTTCTCCACACCACTCATGATTTTATATACCTCTATCATATCCCCCTTAGTCGCCTCTTTAATATCTCTCCTCATATGGGGCCCATTCCAAACCCCTAATCATTTTAGTTGCCCTTCTCTGTACCTTTTCTAATGCCAATATATTTTTTTGAGATGAGGAGACCACATCTGTACGCAGTATTCAAGATGTGAGGTACCACGGATTTATATAAGGGCATTAAGATATTCTCCATCTTATTCTCTATCCCCTTTTTAATGATTCCTAACATCCTGTTTGCTTTTTTGACTGCCGCTGCACACTGAGTGGACGTCTTCAGAGAACCATCCACAATGACTCCAAGATCTTTTCCTGATTCGTTGTAGCTAAATTAGCCCCCATCATATTGTATGTAAAGTTGGGGTTATTTTTTCCAATGTGCATTACTTTACATGTATCCACCTTAAATTTCATTTGCCATTTTGTTGCCCAATCACTTAGTTTTGCGAGATCTTTTTGAAGTTCTTCACAGTCTGCTTTGGTCTTAAGGGCAACTGAGAATCAGTCCCAAAAGCTTTCTTTCCTAGGCTTCTTGGTAAACCTGGGAGGTTCCCCATAGATAAGAAAATCTCACAAGAAAATGAAATTGCATACAACTAGAAATACCCTGCACCCTCAATTGTGGGCACAGCAAACAATTCTTTACTATACAACAGCTCAGGTATGGACATGAGTCTTGGTAAAGCAGAACTAAGCCATTTATATCTGGGATGCTGTGGCAGCTACCTAATTATTGGCTCTCTCTAAAATAACTTGATCAGTTCACAAGGGGTTTTTGTTTGGTTTAGGGTGTGAGTGTATTGTGTATCTCTGTGTGAAAAAATTATTGCGGAAAAGTTATTGAATAAATTTTTGCATTGACTTATGACAGTGATAGTTATTCTCATCTCTTGGGGGAATAAGTTTCATAGGCGATGCCCTGCTCCTGCACACACAAGTCTTCCATTATTGAAGTTTAAGTGTTCCAGACAGGGGCAGTGCTCTGGGGTAAAGGAGATGTAGAGCTGTGTGTTAACTGCCTGCCATTGACACTTCAGCCCATGCTATTTCACCAGCTCTTCCAATAGCTTTGTATCAATACTGAGTAATACCGGGGAGATGATTGTGCCCTGTGGGACTCCACAGTTGAGAACTCTGGAGGAGGAGGAGGAACAATTTGCCATAATTATCCTCTGGGTTCAGTCTGAGAAGGAGGACCTGAGCCATTTCCATTCACCTCTGTAGCGTCTTGGAAGTATTTTCTGATTAATGGTATCAAATGTCATGGGGAAATCCAGCAGGATGCATTACATCCCTGTCTATGGACAGGAAGAGATTGTCCACCCGAGCAACAAATGCTGTCTTTATAACATGCCATAGCCTGAAACCCAATTTACAGCCCAAGCAATATCTCCCCAAAATAACTGCATGAACCAGACTCTACAATGTAATTCTTATTGGCTAATTTTGGAATATTACAGCAATTTGTTAGATTTTGTGTGTGTGTGTGTGTATATATAAGAAAATGCTTACCCTTTTGATACTTATGTCACAATACCTCCAGGTGGCATTGTATATGAAGGTTTTTTAATAATTTGATTTTGTAACTTCAGTTTAAACTAGATGGAAATATTTCTTCACTGTTGTATGCAATTACTGTATAGCAAACCACCACTAATAACTACAACAGTGTCACACAAAAGTTCTCAATATCTCTTCTACCTCATTAGCTGATGGGCTTTTTTAACTTATGGCTCTCCGGCTGACTCATTTTTCCTTACAAAATCACTAGGTTCATCACTGGGACTGGGGTTGTGAATCGTGTTCCAGGGTCTCTTAATGTCCCGCCCCACGGTTGAGGCGTAGAAGATCTCTATAGTGGAGCTGGATGTGAAATTCCCCTCTGCGGGAAGAGGAGTAGAGCTCTGTGAAAGTTTTGTACATGTTCTCGTGAAATTGCATGCCAGCTATTTTGCCATCTCACTCTGGGCCCTTTCCCACCCAAGCCTGCCACATATTCTCCCCCTGTGCCCCAATAAAATCAGAGTGAAACATTGAAGATAGGCAAAACTGGGACTTTAAGATGCAAAGCCATCTTTACCTAAAAATGAATGGACGTTTCCCAAATGCCTGCATGTTCATTTTCACTGCTGTCTCAGCGGGGAGCTCCCCCTTGTAAAAATGTGCCATCACGATGTGCTGATTATTCAGAATGTCAAATATTATCCAAGACAAAGCTGCTGTGGGGGATCAGTCTCCTTCATCCTTCCTACATGCACAGAGTTGCTTTACTTGATGCTGAGTGAAACCCAGCAAGATTAATTAGTTTTCTTCACTATTAAGCCTTAAAGGCAAATTAATTAGCTTTGTAGAATTCAAGTCAGTTTCCCCTGGGCAGCTGGCTCCTTGTGTATAGCACTAATTGTCCATTGCCCGCTGCCTAAGGTACTTTCAGGCTAGTGGCAGACAACTGATCAAGGCAAAATCATAGATGGCTGCAATATGTGGCAGATCCTCTGTACATAAATAATAATCTGGACTGGTTTCTTCTTTTCTCACACCTGGTATTGCACAACAATATAACATTGCTAAAATAAACATACACACTTGCAGGGCTCTGGTCAACACCCCTGAAATGAAATCAGGGCTCCTGAAAAAGAAATACAAAAGTACTCTCATCAGGGAACGTACCATAAAAGCCTCTTATTGCCAAATCCTGGAGGACCATGCAGCTGCACCAGGCAGAGCAATGTGGGACCTGGGGAGCTTGTGTAAGCGGTCCATTGAGCACAAGAGTTATTGAAGAGAGGAGAAGATGCGATCCTGTGTCCTGTGGATTTCCAGCTACACTAATTATTCGCTATTCTCCCAAGCAGAGAGAGAGTGAGCGCTTGTTTGGGCCATTCTTGACACTGCCACTGTAGGGCCTTCTAAGAAGGAAGGATTCCTTCCAGTGCACAGTTAGAATATGGGAATCATGTCCCAGATAGACGATCTGCATCCAAAACTGAATCTAGCACCATGACTCAACACCTGCAGGCCAAACCCCCAGAGCCTTCAGGCATAAATCGTGAACAAATCTAGGCCCCTTAGGGCCCAATTGTCAGGATCCCAGTGAATGCTTTGATTCTGTGGCCACAGAATCCACGCTTGGCTGAAGAAGTCTGCTCTAGAATCTAAACTCTCCTTCTAGATCTTATGGTTCCATCTCCTATGGCTCCAAATAAACCCTTCCAAACGTGAGATGATTGTAAATTGATGCAGCACCTTCCAGAATCTGCAGAAGATCTGTAGCAATAGCTCTGAAATCGTCTCATTTGGCTCACTCAGAAATCTAATGATAATTCAGATGTCAGCATTGTTAACTAGGTCACTGTTGATCATTTTAGCAGAAACATTATCTTATCTGTTTATCCCACAGTTCCAAACGACCTTTAACACCTCCCAGGTTATCAAAAGGCCTTCACCAGCCCCTCACTGCCAATTTCTACAGTGCAGGCTATGTTGTCAATACAAAAATCTGCAGCCCATTGAAAATTTAGAAGCAGCATAAAATTGAATTTAGCATCAAAATATATTACATAAGAAATATTCTGATTGTATGATTCATTTTCATACTGCATTCAGTTAATGGGGCCAGATCCTTGGCTGATGCGTATCAGTGTAGCTCTATTGAAGTTAAATGGCCCCAGATGTTCAACAACAGCGTGCCTCCTCCCATTAAGAATGTGTCTCCATTACAGAACCACTGGGTGTGAAACATACCTGCTCCTGCCCTCCCCACAAGTGTGGACAGGGATAACTGAGCTTAATAGCTGTTATGGCAAAGTATGATAGGGACTTAGCAGAATGAAGGGTCTAGCACACTTCACTGAAGTGAGCTTTGGATTCAGTTGACCATGCCACACAAGTGGGACAACTGATTCTGACACCAATGAAGGGTAAGCGGTGGGGCTGCCATGTCTGGTATCCCCATGGCAAACATGGCAATTTTGTAGTGTGGACAATCCCAGATCATGACTTTCTGGGGAGAAAACAAAAACAATCCAAAGGCATATTTCCATAAGCCAATGTCTCGGATAGGTTCATCCTCCATTTTGGTCTCTGATTCTGAG